ACCTGCAAACTGGCTTCTTCTAAAGCCACAGCATCCAAGAGCCAGCATCTCAGAGGGCAGCAGCAGTTGAAGGGCCCCCCCGAGCACGTCCAGCCTACTCTCCTACCTTCGCAAGCACAGAGACCTGAAGAAGAGAGGACAGGAGTTGCTTAAGGTCACACAATCGAGTTTGTGAAGCTGGAAGCTTTGCACCGCTTCCACATTCTTCCCAAGGCCAGGGTACAATTCGTCCTCCTGTTTTCCACCGCGACAGTAAAGTGCCACTCTTCTCCGCCATGGGACCGGGTGACATGTTCAGTCATGTGAAGTCATGTGGGAACATCTTTGAGTTCATAAACATCTCCTGCTCATAAATATCCAACTGAAGACTCAAGCTTCTACTGCTCCCAAAATAGCTTTGGATCCCAGCACAGGCATTTCCAAGAACAAATTTTTATCCTTTCAAGAATTCTGTGAAAGCACAGAATTCTCTAGTTTGTATGTATACCCACCCAAGAGACCTCCCTCATCCTGGTCACACACTGGGCCCTGATCGTGGTCACGGATGGTAGACATAGACTGGTCTAACCTCCAGATAAGGTGTCGAATATGGTTTAATGTCTAATATGGTTTATTACAAGTATGGTCCATTTCAGCTCAATTCCTTTTGACACAATAGTAGATTACTCTGATCACGCAACTCCCCAGCACTTTTACTTAAAGGGGATTGCTCGCCTGTGGATAATCTTGGGGTTGACTCCTCAACATCTATTTCCGGGCTAGATGATTGATTACTCTGAGCCAATCAATTCAATTCCCTTTACCAGTGATCATTTTATCAGTTGGGAAGGCCTGAGCCAACAGCTGTCCATAAGGCCTAAGGAGAGGCTGTGGCTTCTAGAAGGAGAACCCAGTTTCTCTATTCCACTAGTCTGTTACCACTAAGCATGTTACCCCAGCTGCTGCGGAAGCCCTCCAAGGGCACCAAGGAACACAAGTCTCAAGCAGAAGCCCTGTTAAGGCTGCCAGAGGAGAGGGGCTGAGTCTGGGCCACCGAATCAACCAGCCCTAAAGCCAGCCCTCCCTCCTTGTGAGATGATACACATACAGTTTTTAAAACACTTTGAGATGAGACGTTTATTATCCGCAGATGGAAGTCCTCCCTTTCCCTGCTTCACCCTATTGCAGAGGCCCGAGACCCCCCCCCACGCTGGGGAGAACCAGTCCTGCCTGGGCGGTAGAATAGCTAAGCATGCTGCCTCCTCCAGGCAGGAGATCCCCATCTTTACAGAGACAAGCACAGGCCCAGCTAATTACAGGAGATGCCACTGGAAGGGCCTCGCCAGCACGTTAGGCTAATTTCATGAAGGCACTAGGAGGAAGGTCGTGGACCGGATCCCAGATTATTAATAATGTCGAGCCGCATCTGAACCATTCAGGGAATTCCTCCCAGTTGCCTCCAGCAAACTGCCACAGGTTGCTACTTTCCTCTGAAATCAACAGTCTTCCCATATGCAAATGTAGATTTTTTTTTTTTTTGTTTTTCCCTAGAAAATAATTAAAGTCACAGAGCCCAATAAATACTTAAACAGATTGTGGTTTTAATTAAAAACCTTCCACCAGGGCTGCAGCTGCTGGTCTCTCTTTCCAAACAGGCACACTGGTGACAGCTACAGGCATCAGAATCCGAGTTTTAAGTATCTGAGATGAGACTAGACATCTTTACAAATGGTAGTAGTAATTCTGATCGCTACCTATGCCATGGTATGTAGGGGGAGCAGGGACTAGAGAGACATTTGGGGGCTGCTTCTCCCTGTGGGGGAGGCAGGAAGGACACAAGCACGTAGGGGCGTGTGGAGCAGACATCTCTTTATACTTGTACCCAACTCTGGAAGGCAATAATGATGGCTAATGTTGTAAAAAATAATAGCTCATTTCTGAGTGCTATCTAAGTGCCAGGCACTCAGTGAACTGCATGCCTTGACTCCTTTAATCCTCAGGGCAACCCAATAATGTAGATATTCTTATTTATAGCCCCTTTTCCTCCTGAGGCACAGAGAGGTTAAGTAACTTGGCCAAGGTCACACAGCTAGTACGTGGTGGAGTCTGATGCTAATACCTTTCCTCCTAACCACCACACAGAGTGTGCAAGAAGGGAAGGAGAGAGAGAAGGTGGGAGGGGGCATTATAAACAGGGACTGGCTTCCCAGAAAGGTGAGCTCTCTGCTGGAAATTAGAAAGAGAAAGCAGCTTCTTGGGAAGAGAGGTAAGAACGTATTGGCAGGCAAGGGGACAGCTGAAAGATGGGAGTGGGGAGTGTTCTGGAGATTCTGGCTGGAGTGCAGCTGTGGGAGGGATCCCCTGAGGCCGCTATGCTGCGGGTAGGTGATGCCCTTCTGGGCCCTGGTTTTCTGACTTTCCGAGACCTTCCCACATCCCTTAAATCACCCACATGCCTCCCTAAATACAGGGGCACGTACAACTCTCAATGCAGTTGGAATGGAAGCGTTTGCACAATGTTACCTGTCCTGAACATTTCATTAAACATCTATTACTTCCTACTTCGTAGTTTTCTTTCTCCTCTTAGAGCCAATAGATTTTCTTTTTCAGATCTCGGACATTTTAGGCCCAGATAAAGTCATAAGACTTAAGGACTGTGCTCTAGAGCCCTCCTACGAGAGGCTTTCTCGGAGAGAAAGCGCTCACCCTGCCCAGGGTGTGTGTGCTGGGGGTGGGGGTGGGGGCGCTGTCCGCGAGGGAGGCGTACAGGACGGTTTCCTCCCAGAACTAAGAGCATCGGTTCGTGCCAGGGCCTACTCCTTACACGAGTATTCAAAGGGTGCCTATTGTGCCCTGGGTGCCGGAAACACAATGGGGTGCGAAGCGGGGGCTGTGTCCGTATTGGGCAGGGGAGAGGAGGTTGCAGATTCCGGGGACGTAGACTGGGTGGGCATGAGAAGGAAAGCTTCGGTGCCCTCGGTAAGCGTTGCCCCACTCCGGCACACTGCGCCTCGGGACCACCGAACCCGGGACAGAGCACGTCTTAGCGCAGGGCTCCAGCCTCCGCGCTCCCGGCGCAGGCCCCCGGCCGCCCTTGCCCCAGCCTCTGCACCGGCCAGCGGTGTGCAGCAGGGGGCGCTCACGAACCAGGCCTGGGACAGAAACCAAGAGGGGACAGAGCCTGGAGAGGGACTACGGGGATCCACTGGGTTTCAACCCACCCCACCCTCCGGACCGTCCGGGTCCGCAAAGTCAAAGTTAGAAGTCGGTTCGCAAAAATTTGCCCGGAGCCACAGCTCTTGGCCCCTGCGTCTGTCTAGGGTCTGGACCCCAACCTGGTCAAAAACCTTGAGCCTGGATTCTACAGATTCCGATTCTGGGCCCTCCCCTCTGGCGGCTTAGAACCTTAAAATCCCTCCTTCACCCACACCTACTTCCACGCACCTGATTAGGTGCCTGTTTCTTTAACGATCAAAGACGTGGGCGGCGGCGGCGGGGGTGGTGTGTTCGCTCCCGGTTCCCCAGCCCCTCAGTAACTGTACCATTATTAACAGTATAGACATCAGACCTGCTCCTGCGCGCCCGGGCGGCGCCGGGCGAAACGCGCTGTCCTCTCCTAGCTGAGCCCGGAGGCTGATCCTGGAGTCGTGGCTCCAACCCCAGGCCTCGGCGGACTTTGCCAGGGCAGGCCCTGGGCGCTTCGGGGTCGAAGGCGGGGGTAAGGGTTGTCTTTCCCCCCGGGTAGGCTCGGGGAACAAAAGCGCTTGCTGGAGAGTGGGCGGGAGTCGCAGGGGCCCGCGGGAGTCTGCGCCCTCGCCTGGGTGGCCACCACATCCTTAGGCGCCCTCCTGGCCCCTGGAGCCCTGTCTCTCTGCCAAATTCTCCGGGCTTCTGCATCCCTGGCAAGTGAGCCAAGGAAAAGGGGTCTTATTTGGCCCGTGGGC